GGTTTGTGATTTAATTTGTGCAAAAATAAACAATTTAAAGCCTGAAAGGAACTAAGATTTAACCAGATTAATATCTTAAAATGTAAAATGGTCAATAATGATAGCTAAGTTAGACATTTAGAAAGGAATTACTGCACATGCACCAATGAACACCTCAAAACACATTAATAAAGTCATGCCAGCATGAAAAAATACCCCAAAATACTTTGTGGAGTATGTTTTTCTCTGGCAGTTCCCTTGTGGACATTGTAGGGAATTCAGTCTCTTCCATTCTGACAGCAAAATTTAGCACAAATACCAGTTTCTGTCTGGGGAAAGTTTTCTGATGGCTGTCCCCATACTATGTAGTTAGTCAACTCTTTCTGAGCTCTTTGAGATAATGAGTGAAAATCAATTATTTCAATATGGATGAATAATAAATCCATTTTTATGACTGTTGCTGTCATATTACTGACTGGTAGAAAGGTTAAACACAACTAGTTACTACTGCAACCAGGGAAGTTGATCAATTCTGAGTTTGTGCCAAACCATGAACCTTTCACACAGCCAAACTACCCTTGCAGGGTTACACCTAGTCCCTGAGATCCTCTCCCAGCTTTCTGTGATCCTGTTCAGGTTTCCTTGACTGCCAGCACCCACAGGTGATTCCTTTTACTCAGAAACAAACAAGAAAATAAAGACTCCTTCCATGTAGCCTCATAAACACACATGCACACGCTCAAAGGGATTAGGCTGCCAGCTTGGCTATGGGACTAGAGGTGATTTTCAAGCCCAAGCACATCTCAGTGTAAAAGACATCTCCCTGCCTTTTATCCATACAGATCGACTTATCTGAACTCTAACTGGAGTTTCATTTTTCTCACCAACCAGCTGTGAACTAATTAAGAGGACTTCTAACTAGTCCTGCTCCCTCTCCAAGCATATGGATCCAATTAAGTCAAACTGCAGCTGATTTTAATCAATCTTCCTTGAAGCAGCCAAACTTGAAGAATTCTCCTTCAGCTCGAAGAGTAGAGGAGAGCAGGAAAAGCAGGAGAGTAGTATTTGCATAAGGAACACTTCACATCCGCTTGGTTGCCTGTAAACACAAGGCTCCTAGCAGTAAGAAATGCTAATTGAACACTCCGCAAAAGTCTTTCCTCCCACTTTATCTGAAAAGCACTGATTTGATCAGTCTCTTTTGTTCCTGGCATGGAGTTGCACTTTTCCACCAGCAGCTCTGGAAGATGGTCCAGATCATTTCAGATAATTAAGCAAACCAAACCTTTCACTGAAATCTCATCAAGTCTGCCCACCATAGGCCAAGCAGTAACGGTGCATTTGCTTTCCTGGAAGCCTTTTTTGCTTCATTGAAAGAAAGGTGGGCAGGGGAGAGGAGATAAAATTGTCTGGTTAAACCTATTCTTTTCATATATTATTTGAATACCTCTCCTGAGCCACAGCTCAAATATTTTTCTTAAGATAGTGTCCTGGGCAATGGGGAGGCACCCTCAGCAGGGTGTTATTTCTCTAGAGTTCCAACATTTCTTGTGTTTTTGTAATCTGAGGTTTTTATTAGCAGTAAAAACCTGACCAGTAAGTAATATCCATGCTAAAGTCTTTATACCAGTGAAGGAAAATCAATGCAGCCTACAGCTAGGTGTCAAGAGCCAAGGGGTTTTTTGGAAGAAGGGGTGTATGGGAATGGAAAGCACCTTCAGCCATAATTCAAGCTGTCCTCACACAAGTACAGAATACAAAGAGATGTCAGATGTTATATACGCTGCTGCAGATAACTATCAGTATCTCAGTTTCTTTATTTGCTAATACTGAGCTCGAGGAGCATGAATCACACATCTAACACAAAAGAACCTTTCCACATGCTCGCTTGCCCTCTGGCCAGTCCATCAGGGTCTTGTAGTTCTCAAAGTGGGCTACTGTCAGCAGCAGCCAAAGTAGAAATGAGCAAAATTAATGTGTCAATACTCAGATACAAAAGGATGTGAGAAGAGGGAAACATTTTTGAAACTTCGCTCCTTTCCACACATCAGTACAGTCAAACATTGACGTTTTTAATTACCGAACATTAGCTGTATCTCCCTAGATTTCATTCACCACACACAGCTTTGTGAACTCAACAGGCTTCAGTCCAGACTGCTGTAAAGCAGTCAAAGCCTTAATTCTACATCCTGCCTCTTCCTCTTCCAAATTCACAACTTTAATACACTCCTTCTATGTATCTTTCATTTAGTAGATACAAATCCAGAAAGTCAGAGGTTTTATTTTAAAGAAGGAACTGCAGATAAAGATTTGTCAGAAATCGCCTTCATCCTACCTTGTTTAATGTCACCTCCTACTTTCTCTTACACCTTTATTTGATTTGATGCCACGCTTTTCCCATGTTTGTAATTTCAATCATCCTTCTGTTCAGCAAAATTTTCTTGTGATTTCTGTATATGAAGTTTGTCTTGCCTTTTTTTCCCTTTGTGATAAAGAGATGTTATTTTAACCCATCATTTCCCAGTGATTACTTTCAGAGAGGGGAATAAATAACACGTCAAACTAGCAACATTTCAGTGTCCTTATCTCACTGTATAATAATATTTTCAGCATATTTGCTCAGCGCTGATAGAATAGGTGAATTTCTAAGCTTATCCTTAACTTAGTGGGTCCCCACTGTAAGGAACATTCTTCCAATGTGTTTATTAAAAAAAAGCAATTCTAAGCTTGGCCTGTCAAGATATTTGATTCTCAAGGTGAATTAAAAATAAGAATGCCAGTATTTTCCCCCCTGAGCAGTTCTGAAATCTTGACCATTCAGGTGGGCACACACTGATCAACACTGACATTTTAGCATTCAGCTTACATATTCCTATATTTATGCTTTGTTCTCTACTTCTCCTCTTTCGGAGAAGCTGCTTTTGGCATTCAGTCCTCTAAGACACAAGTAAAGGAAGAAGCTAAGGAAGAGGGGAGCTACCTCCTGTTAAATAAAGACTTAAAGCCATGTCCTCAGCCTTGGCCAGGCAGATGTAAGAGCATGATTACCTTGATTCAGCTCACTAACTAGGCTTTCGTGGGACTGGCAGATTTCTCTTCCCTAGACCTGCTAAGCCAGATGACCACTTTCCTTCCTTTTTCAACACCTACATGTTATCACATCCTTCCCATATAATTTTTATGCTGCTCTATCTGCAGGTTGTTCCTGTTCTCCCCTGCTCCCTCCACAAAGCCCTGACCTGCCCAACACTGCATTCAAACAGCAAGCACCATTAATGAGATAGGTTATGGGGATCCCGTGATGAGCTTCCAAAGCAGTACAGTACAACTGTTATTGTATAGTAGCTTTCGCACAGTATGAAGGCCCCATCTTATTCCTATCACCACATTACTTTTCTATACTTTGAAAGCTCAGCTATCCAAACGGTAGCTGCTGCTGATCTCCTCTACTGAGGACCAGAAGGCAGACAATTAGCAAGACTACACTCAAGACTTCGGACCTTTCCTCTTTGAATGTGCAATTTAAAAAGCTTGGTGTTTTGGCATCTCAAGACCAGTATGAGGAAAGCAAGTAGAACATCTTGAGACCTCACAAAGAAAATAGGGAATTCCTCTGGTCGGGCCTTCCTGGAAAGCTGGCAGACATTGTAAGATAACGTTGGCAGATTAAATGTGACCTGAGTGAGTTGTAATCTGCTCTGAAACCAAAGCTGCTGTTGTGTTTGTTGGAGACCTAAGCATCCAAACACCAGCCCAAAGCTTTCATCCCCTTCTGATGACTGAAAACCAATTAAAGGAGAGCCGGGTGACAGGTTTCACACTAAACATGGCTCAGCAGAGATGCTCTGCAGCTCTTAGCTCCCTGCTTTATCAAAACTGTCACTTCCCCTGTGTCTAGGAATTGGTAATAAAAAAAAAAAATCTGATTCAGCTCGAATAGGTGTCAAGGTAAAATCAATGGTCTGTCTGAAATCTGGGTAATTTCAAACCTGTAGGTTTTCTACCATGAAGCAATTTACACGAAAATGGAAAAAAAAGAAGAGAGAAAGAAAGAAAAATTAAGAAAATGAAATGCTACAATGCCAAATGGCTCAGCATATCAGAGAGAACAGAAGGGAGAGATAACACTGTTCATAGCAGGATGGGCTTTGATTAAACAAACAGGCTCAGGTTCTTGTTCGCTCCAGCACTTTTCAAACAGGAAACACTACAAAAGCTTGAAGCAACTCCCATGCCCGTCCTCTGCACAGGAAAGCTGTTCCCAGAATGACAGCAAGCTGAACAGACAGTCCCTTCAACTGCTGCAGGTGCCCTTGCCCTCCTTCAAGGAGGGTGAGACTTCACGGATCTATCCAGAGCAAAAAGCTGAAGATTCTCTGCCATATAGGACAGCACCACCTCAGGAAAAGGTAAAACACCCACAGTAGCACAGCAAAAGAAACACACCCTTTTGTCCTTCCAATCCCATACCTTCTGTTCTCCATGTCTGTGGTCTGGAGATGCTGCTATGCCATCATCTCAGCAGCACTGATGCTTCCTGGCTTGGAAAACTACTGCCTAATGAGGCCACAAACTGGTGGTCTGTCTCCATCGCTGATAGCATCAGTGGAGTCATCAGTACAAACGGAGCTCAAATTTTCATATCAGCTCCGTGCTGTTAAGCCCTATCTAGACTCCAAGCTTTGGCACGAATTAATTTGGAGACAGACAACTAGTGGTAGTGGAGTTATTTAAAACAGAACAGTTTTTAAGGCTCCAAGAAGAAAAAGAAGAAGTTCTAGGCAAAGGCATCAAAAAACACAACGGCATTTGTCTGACTACATCTGACATCAGAACACTTCAATAACTGTCAGAGATACAGGTGTGTTGGGGCAGTTTGCACAGGCTTCCAAAAAACGCCTTGCCCAGACTGAGGGAAGTGAAATTGTGAGCTGTGAGCATTCTAGCACATCTGTTAGAACAGCTATGGAGAATGGACCATGTCAGGCTCTCCAGCTGCTCTGGATCTCCACACTTCTTACCTGGAGAGTTAGCTTCTCCAGTTTCATTTCCAGAGATCTGTTCTCCTCTTCCAGCTTGCTGCGTTCAGCTTCCAGCTCCTCAATTTTCAGCCTGGTGAAGAAGAAGTAGTTAATATACGCTGTGTCTCTGCACAGTCCCACCACAAATCATCAAATAAAACATGAAATCACAATCAGTATCAGATTATTCCTGTATTCAGTACCACAAAGTTGCAGTACTGACATATTACTAAAACATATTACTAAAAAATACAAATTTGTATGATGAATATATAATTTGTAAAAGTAGATTAAAAATACACAACTTGAATATAAAGCAAATCCAACTTAGATACTTCTTGAACCACAGACTGAGTCTAGACCATCATGTTTAATAATCACCAGCAGCTGAAATCTCCATGAATGCATCAAATCTCTTTTTGATTTGATTTATACTTTTGGCCTTCATAACACTCCTTGGCAGTAAGTTCCACAATTTAATTATGTGCTGTATGAAAAATTAGTTCATTCTGTTTTATACTTCATATGTGATTATTTCACTGAGTGCCTGTTAGTTCTGCTATGAAAAGTTGTGAATAATTGTACCATACTACCCTCTCCATACCATTTTACAGGCCTGCTCTATTATTACCTGAAGAATCTCAATTTAGTCTTTCCTCACATCAAGGATTTTCCATATTTCTTATCATCTTTATTGCCCTTCCTTGGTTGTCTTCAAGTTTTATACACTTTTTGCTATAAGAAAAGCTAGACCTACCAACAATACTCAGATGTATTCAGTGGTATAATGAGGCTTTCTGTTTTGTTCTCAACTTCTTTTCTAGTAATTCCTAGTATTCTATTTGTCTTTTCAACTATGGAGCACTTATCAGGTATTTTTAGAAAACTGTTCACAATAATGTAAGATCTCTTTCTTGAGTGACAACAGCTCATTCAGAGCCCACTATTGTGGGAGTAAAAGTAAAGGTGTTTTTTCTTATGTGCACAGGTTTTATAATTATTGATGTACAACTTCATTTCCCATCTTGAGAAGCATCATAAGATTCTTCCGAAACTCTGAACAGTCTAGTAAGATGAATGATTTCATATTATCTCAAATTCTGTCACCTCACTACCCACAAACTTCTCTTTGTGTTGGACAAGTTCCCAATAAAAACCATTCTAGGACCTAGTAGAAAATCCTCAGTATTGTGAAAACAACATTTATTCTTTGCTTTTTCATCTTTTAACTTTGTATTACATAAGCAAATTAATGGAAGAAAAATGCATCAAGCTTTACAAAGTAGAAAGACATTATATTATCTCTGGCTCAGGAAATCCTGGAGACAAGGTACTAGAAGCTAGGAGAGCCTTTCCCTATTCGCATGGACATCTACCACCGGCCATCCCTGCAGACACTGCACTCGGACAGCCGGTCCTTGGTGATTTCTATATTCTTATTAATCCAACAAAGAACCTTCTCTCTTATTCCATCAGAGTAAAGTTTCTTTGTGATCTTTGGCTCAAAGCTTTTTGAAAGGTCAAATATATCAACCATATCAGCCTTAGTCAAATGATTGTCAAATCCTTCAGAGAACTCTATCAAACTTGTTAGGCAGGAGATACTATTATAAAACGTTTGATATAATATTTTTGCTTGTATTTAAGTACAAAAACCTTAATGCTGCTTCAAGAACCTCACCTTTCACATGTTAACTTCCTGGGATTAACCGTGCACCTGATACATATTAACATTGATCTTTGCATTCAATTTTCTCAGGATTCTTTTCCAGAATATTTTTAAAAAATTAATTATCTTGCTTGATAATACTCACTTTTAAATGATCTAAATTAAGCTGAAAATCCTTGCACCATGACAATAAACAATGCATCCATCTGTCAATATCCCACAATTATGCAACAGAAATTTCAGGTACAATGAAGAAGTTGTCTCTCCTATTCATCGGGCAAAAGTTACAAACTTTTCCATGGAAGCTGGTGGATCTACAACATGTTCAGCACAGAAATGTCTCCTTTATAAATATGCAGCTTGAATTGCTTAAATTATTTGTAAGCCTGACCCCTGCTGGTAGTTTTCAGCTATTATAAAGTATCATCTTTTTTCCACTCTTGGAAGCTTCTAAAATGTCGAGAAGTAGCTTTTAGCATTGTCTAGGCCATTAAAAAAAATCATCAATAATTTCCAGAAGAGACACAAAGCTAGTGGGGATGGAGGATGCAGAAGAAGCAGGGGACTGAAAAGGTCGGAAAAAATGGAAATTCAAAATGGAATTAATGCTTTTAACGGCATGTTTCTAAATGGATTGCAGAACAAGCCACAAGAGCAGCAACATTTTTCTCTGAGGAACAACAGCGCAGCAGCTACTGAAAGGTCAGAGCCAGACACAGAACTCTCATCAGTACTTTCTTCATACTTGACACGCTGAATTTTAATTTAGAACAGATCTCTCCCCATCTAGCCTCCCAAATAAGTTGTGATGTTGCCATTACCTGCCTGCAGAACTTCTCTCCATGTGGAGGTTTAAGCTCACGCCTCTTAGATACCCTTTAAAAATCATTCATAGCAGTCACCAGAAAACGCTTCACAAAGATCCGAGACACAAACGAGCTGTAAGAAGGGCAAGTTTAAGTCATTATGGTTTTGTGCTATTTCACCTGCAATTTTAAGATTTAATAATTTGTTCGTGCCCTTCGTGCTTCATTGAAGAAACAGCGATGATTCAAAGCCCGGGGCGCTCGCAGTCAGGTAGCAGACATACCCGGACCACGCAGCACGGAGAAGAGCGCCTGTGAGGGTGGCTGAAGTTCACAGCCTCTTCCCCCTTGGGCTCATCCCTCAGATGCCTGGTCCTCCCCAGTATCCCAGCTATCGGGGCATCCTCCTTTCCAGACACAGCATGGAGTTTCCCGCTGTGTACGGAGGAAGGTCATCCCACCAAGGTGTGAGGAGCTCCCCTTCACGTTGCCTCAGCCCTGCTCTCCTTCAGAGACAAAACTTGTTGCTTCCTCTGTGCTGAGGACCGGGAACATTGCTGTAACCTCTTTGCACCAGAGACGTTTTTAGGACCGACTAGTGCTTTCACTACTTATCCCTCTTCTAACCTACTTTTAACACTGTTAAGTGTTCTGGATCTCCAGTGGGAAAGCATTAAGAACCATTAGCAAACAGTTTGTGCTATTCTAGCTTTGCTTTCCAGCCCTGGGGAACTCTTCCCAATGGCAAAGAGAGAGAAGCAAGGGAAATCCTATCTATATATAAACACAGCAAAGCATTTGCAGCTGGTGGTTAAGATACGGCAGTCAAATATTGAAAAATATTTACTTGCTTGGCACTTGAATTTTTTCATTTACGTAAATTCAGGTACAGGGCCAATTATGTACTGCTTTTGGATGCATCAGCATCCACAAAGGCAGCCTTAGTCTGCACGCACCTTCTGCTCTCTCTGCCCAGTGACATCTGCACAAGATACGTGATGCTATTTTATCACCAATTTGCAAGCCTCAACTCTTTACATAGGGGAGTTACTTTCAGGTAGGGAGAACAACCCAAGATAAATTCACATGAGAACCACAAAAAGCAGAGTACAGAAACATCTGGGTACAGCACAACCATCTATCAACTTAACGTTTGGCCTGGAATGAATGCTGGTGCTCATTTTAAAAGCAGCCTTGTGGCACAAGGAAGGAAGAAACATCAGTTGCTTTCTAAAATACTGACACCATTCTCAAGTTTTTTGATACAGGGAAAAATCATTTGGATTAACTTCTGGAAAATTTACCAAATTCTTCTCCATACAGGGGTCTGAAAACATGAAAATATTTAAACTCTGGCAAAGACCTCTTCGCATTTCTGGAAGACTTTTCCTGCATCAGATGCAGACAGTTTAACCCAGGGTCGAAGGCCCCACAGGCACAAGGCAAATTCAAGGCACCTCCACAGCCTTTCACAAGATCAAATTTAGTGCAAGAATACAGATTCATTGGCATTTGCTCAGACTTGTGGATTTTCCCACTTTTAAAAACTGAGCTTTGTCTTGCCTCCACTGTATGTTTCACTGTCCCAAATTAGAAGAGGGGAAAACCAAAAACAAAACCCCAGATTCCTACAGCCTCAGATCTCCTGAAATGACACTTGTGAGAATCAGGAGACGTCCCACCTTGTGCGTTCAGTCTATCTAAAAAGTGCTTAGATGGTGAGCAACGGCTGCTACAGAGAAAGGTCAGGCTGCTCGTATTTTAGAAAGGAAGAAGGGGGGAATCAGTTTGATTTTCAACAGCATCTAGACACTACCAAAAGTCTCTCTCAGTCCAGAGCTTTTCAGTGGAGCTAACCAGTGACAACTCCCCATCATCACCCCTTTATCTTTCTTTTATTAATTTTTAATGTTCTCAGACGTGTTATGTGATTGTCTGTAGAGTAGCGTGGCTATCGCCCATGAGGATGTGTTTCACAGAGGCCCCATCTGCAAAGAGGCCATGGCCATGTGGAAAAGCTATTGCTGAACAGGAAACTATTGAATGGAGCAGAAAATGTATGTGTTGGGAAGATGCTATTAAGGGATCCAGATGGCATTGAGATGGCGTTAGGAGCAGAGCAGACAGAATTCCAGCAAGTGTGACTAACAGGCATTGGCAAGGACATGAATTTCTTTTGAATTACTGTAACTCTACCCAGTCACTAAATCCACAGAAAACATTTAGGATTTACTGGGGTCGTAGTTTGACAGCAGAAAGAAAAAGTTCAGATTTGTTCCAGCTGAAAAGGTCCTTCAGCTGTTGCCACTTAAGTCTTCAGTGAAGTTCTTCTAAAATATACTACTTTTATTTATAGGTTCTGAAATACTAGTTTCTGCAGAGTTATCACCTTCCCTCTAAAAGGTGCTAATGCCCAAATGCTCTCTGCTTTGCTATACCCCACAGTGCATGAACTCAACAGTTTGACCACTTTTTCTTTTCATAAAATCTGCAGAATATAAACAAATATGATTTCAGAGGGAACAGCAAGAAGTGTGAGAAATGACAGCATTAGCACCGGCTTTTATTGTCTCTTCAGAAACGATAATGCAGGGAGAGAGTTTCACATTTAAAGTTATAAAAGGTCTGACGAAAGAGCACTTTGTTCTCAAGAGAAGGAGGAAAAACTGATAAAGTCTTTCAAGTTTCTTGCTGAAAATTTACTTTCCATACTAAAGAAAAATGAGACAAAAGATACATTTTTAAAAGCTCTCATTCACTCACAGGAGGAGAATACAGATTCAAAGGATTAATATGGATTTTTTTTCTCCTTTATATCTCTCCTGCTTTTGTTTTCAGAAGTCAGCTTCTAACCACGGCATGTATACGGAAATGCCTGGAGGCTCACAGTCCATTCACTCCCCTCGCTGGCTTCTGCTGGGTTTTCCCCTATTTTTCACATTCCTTCATGACAGCAGCTAACTGGAGAGGCTGGGCTCAGTCTAGAAGAGCAGATGCATCGTACTGTAGGTTAATGGGATTTCAAAGACCACAATAAACTACAGAAATAGAAATGATTCCCTCATAAGTTGTGGCATTTCTTCCCCCACTTTCCAATTTGAAGGTTTGCCTTCTTCTCCCTGTTTTCTGCCAGAATTAATTTCTGGCAGCGGTCTGTTGAAACAGTGGAGCTCGTGTTGCTTGCTCCTCCTTAGTAGACACATAAAATTGAGTAACCCGGTCCTGTTGAGGCTCACAAGGACATAGGAGAAGGATGAGCACAACAGACCTAATCCTTTCCCATACTAATCCCTGTTCTCCTCCAAACCCCTTCTGTTCTTTAATGACAGCTGCCTAGTTCGCCTCTGCTGTACGGAGAGGACACAACCAGCCCAGCCATGAGGAGCATTCTGGTGTGGACCCCAGCACATTATTTCTGAACCCCCAAAGCCTGGGGGAAGATAGTGATTTATCTTGCGCTCCTTTGAGAAGGAGCCTCTTCTATGAAGAAAAAACTTGGCCCAGTTTCTTGTCCAATGCACAGAAAATGGCAGAAAACGCAAAATAAGGCCCAGCCATATCCTTACTCTAGAAGCGTAAGAAAAAAATCTTTATGGAGTTGATCCTGCAATGCTGAATGGAGTGCTAGAAAGTCTGAGAAGACATCTGAAGCAGTAATAGTAGCCAACAGTAAGGAAAAAGGAGCAGGGACTGGCTTACCGGTTCTCCAGCAAAGACAGCTCCAGCAGAAAGAGAACACTTTGCACCAAGTCATTTACTGTTGGAGCTGAGCAGTGAAAAGGGTGATTAAAAACCAAACAAATCCATGCTTTTTGGAACAGCTTTCTAGCTAGAAATGACTAGCATCAGGGCCTGGGACAAGTATTTAAATCATCCATAACAACAAAAAGCAGTTCAGTAAAAAGCGACAGAAAACCCAGCCTGGAATTAGATCCTAGGGCTGTGGTCTCTGTGCGTCCATAGCCTCAGAGGTATGCAGTACTGAAATGGGAAAGAGAAGAAAAGACAAAATATCACTGTGAAACAACTGCAGAAGCTTAGCCTCTCTGCTGAAACTGCTTTCAGTGTATGGCTCATCACCGGAGAGTAGCTCTGCACCATCAATACCGGGAATATTACTGGGAATAGGCCTGTGTTTCTATCATACTTTGTGTGAAAGGTTTGACACCATTTCATGAAAAGAGGAGAGATATGAGATTAGTAGCCAAAGAAATTATTTTCTTTAAAAATAAAGGGAGAAAAACATTATCTTTGAGCAGAACCAAACACCACAATCCTGTAACAAGGAGATACTTGCAAGCTCCACCTGTCCTTGCCCAGGAAATAGGTTTTAACTCAGGGCAAAGTCAGACATCTCTATCCCCAGTGCCAAGAGCCTTCCACAATATGAAGTGGCCCCGGGCTATGCAGCAATCCAGCTGTTTCCCCCTATAGACACTGTCCCTGAAGTTGCTCAGTTAATAGATGGCAAACGCTGTTCAGTGAAGATAAACACAGAATAATGAATCTTGGAGGTGAAACTAAAGAGACTGAACGTCTCCGACATGAAAGGGTGCTGCAGCCCATACCAACCCAGGGAGAGAGAGACTGAGGAGGTACTGTAGAAATACTCTGAAAACCTTCAGCTCCCAGAATACAGCAAACAGGATGCTGGCTTTACTGATATAGAGACGTATTATTAAACAGGAGTGACAGGTTTAATGTTGCTGAGGATGTGCAGAATACTTCTGCAGCAGTATAAACATCAGGTTTCAGATGGTCTAGTGTGCCTTAGCAAAGGTAAAACTTGAATGATCTCAGGTCAAACAAACATCAACAATATGCAAAAGCAGATGGAGATAGGTTTATCCCCCTGAAAAAGGGAAGCCATAGCATACTACCTTTTACCAGAAATCAAACATATGATAGAATAAAAAAAGGGAGATGTATGCCTTGGATCTCGAGAACTATTACACCACCTCGAGGGAACTAGAGAAGTGAGTCCCTAAGATTAGGTGTACAGCCCTAAAAGGTACTGGAATAGCTTAGCTGAACATGTGTTATTTTCAAACACCTCCCCTCTGCTATGGAACTGGGCTTTCAAAGCCATAAAACAAGCTCCAGAGGCAAAGCACAAGAGCAAAGTCATCACGTACAAGCCAGTAATTTCTGCTTTCTGCAAGATACTGCTTGCTGCAAAATCCTGCTTTCAGTCCTATGAGGCAGTAACACTTTACAGCGATAAAGCTGAAAATACAAAAGAATTAAGAAGTGAAACTCCGGCCAAAGTCTTACATCAGCTGAGAATAAAAAACTCAGCCTGTCAAGATCTGATTTGCTCAGCTTAAATAAAAGGAAATTATTATTCAGAAACAGATGAACTTTTCTGTGCTCAGTATTTACTGTACAACCTGGTCTGGAAAGGAAGCTGTAAATGCTTTAATAAATACATGGAAAGGTTGTCTAGCTTCACTGTAGCTTTTGTAAACGCTCACGTATCCTCTGTCGAAATGCTGTTTTCTAACTTCTCTTTCACTGAATCACAACAGGTATCCCTCCACCATCTGCAGCAATGCACTAAGCGGAAACATCCCTTTTATCTCCAGTGCTAGACACACATCAGTATCACAAAAGCTGGATTCTAAACCTCTTCACACACATGCCAACAGATCCTGTATCTACAGTCGAGACTTGGTCAAATTAAGAAACAAACAGCAATGCTGTTTTCACAGGAAAGAAAGTCAACAGGGGGAATAGTGACACAGGAGCCAATCTTATGAAACTGAGAGCAAGAGACCACAAACATTAAAAGAAGAGAGCCTGCAGCCTCTCAAAAGATAGAAAAGCTTATAAAGTATCTAAATGCAGGAAAGATCAGGGGCTGAGGCTTCCTGTTAATGCTTCATGGATTTCTCATGTTCATAAAAGCTGGTGTGAAAGTAAAAAGTGTGCTCAGGAAAAGAACATCTTACTTCAGAAACACAAGCAAAATATGTCCTGATCCCTACCACCATGCTGTTCCCTGAATAGCAGGCAGCCTATGTACATAGAAGTCTATACACATACGCTTTTTCATGCACTGTAGCATGATGCAAAGCATTTGACACTGTCCTGCACAACATCCTTGTCTATAAATTGGAGAGACATGGATTTGATGGATGGACCACTCGGTGGATAAGGAATTGGCTGGATGGTCGCACTCAAAGAGTTGCGGTCAACAGCTCGATGTCCAAGTGGAGACTGGTGACGAGTGGCATTCCTCAGGGGTCAGGACTGGGACCAGCACTGTTAAACATCTTTGTTGGTGACATGGACAGTGGGATTTAGTGCACCCTCAGCAAGTTTGCCGATGACATCAAGCTGTGTGGTGCAGTCAACA